TTTATGCCAATACCAATGAAAAGATTTGAGAAATACAGGAGGTGAGTACATTAGCATTCAAATTTACAGTATTGCAACGAGCGAAATATTTTTGAAGTTCGCACCGCTATCCATCAAAATCGGGAGAATAATACACACACCATAAATGAAGCCATAAGATTATGCTCTTATGGGAAATGATTCATCTACCACATGTCGTGCTCACATGCCATAAAGTGCTTTCAACATACAGGTTTTGCGGCAACCAGCTACGTTGATAAAGAATGTAATATTGCTGCATACTTAAACATCTATAGTGGACAGTTGCAGCCAGTGGGTGCTGAGCATTATTGGCCGCCAGAATCATTTAAAATGGTGTATAACAAGGAGTATTTGCGTTAACGATAAGTGCAAAAACGAACGCGTATACGGAACCAAATGGATGTTGGTGATACCGTTTATGCGCGTAAATATGGCATATGCTCGGAAACAAGACACGGCCATCGTAAATGTCCTTCAGTTGGTTTGGGTAGCGGTAGTAATTCAGCTCCCGGTGAAAGTTCATGCAATGTGCCCAATTATCAAGGATACCCGTAGTGTTGTATTCCAATAATTTATTGTAATAAGTGTATGTACATGTTCATCTTGCAGAATGTATGAAATAAAATTATGTTTCCATTGGTGTTAAGTATTATTGATATTTAGCATTAATACTTCAGTACAACAATTTAACATACACCCCAAGAAAAGAAAATTGTCATTTACCATTATCGTCGCTGTCTGGCACTATTTCATTGTCTTCATCTTCTCTGTCAACATCGTGTACGTACCCTTCGGGACCGAGGGCATCGTAATCTAGGCTCAAGTTGACACACATTTTTCGCATTTTATCACTATCATCAAGAAGACCACTTGCTTTATTTCTACAGTAATATGGGATTCCTACATCCAACGTCTGTAGTAGAAACTTAGGTAGTCCCTCCCACTCGACAACTGTTGGGAAAATAAGATAATCATTGTCTCTATGTATTTTATCATTTTCTAATAAATCCAGTACTGAGCTTCCGTTCCTCCCAGGAAGTTAAGATCATCCATTGCATGATGAACAGCTAGTGCCTTTTCCATCTCTAGAATCTCCTTCATGAAATGTCGAATCACTTCTGGTTCTTCTTTGTGTGTGTTTGTTTGGAAGGTTGCAGAGCTTGTGGCACAACAAGCCCATGCCAGCGACATAGTACTTCGTAATCACACCGTTTTGAGTAAAGGGGAACCCATTGTAGTTTTTCGCCCCAAATTCACATATCTTCAGGCTTTGTAGAATGCGCTTCGCCGTCAATAATGTGCCCTGCAACTTTGAGATCAGTGTGTATATTAATAGGCTTATTTTCCAAGGTACGCGGAACACCATACCACTTGTCATCAACCAAGTCAGTGCAGCAACCTAGCATATTTGTTTCAAGGTAGGGATCGATAGTGTTCCATTGGGATCTGTTGAACTACCTTCATCATTTTGCCTCTTTTTGAACCACTTGTTAAATGTTAGTGACATTTTTTAAATGGATGTTGTAATGTTTATTCAAAAGGTCACCGACATAGTACTTCGTAATCACACCGTTTTGAGTAAATGGGAACCCACTGTAGTTTTTCGCCCCGAATTTGCATACCTTCAGGCTTTGTAGAATGCGCTTCGCCCTCAATAATGTGCCCTACAACTTTGAGATCAGTATGCATATTGATAGGCTTATTTTTCAAGGTACACAGAACACCATACCACTTGTCATCAACCAAGTCAGTGTAGCAACCTAGCATATTTGTTTCAAGGTAGGGATCGATAGTGTTCCATGGGGATCTGTTGAACTACCTTCACCATTTTGCCTCTTTTTGAACCACTTGTTAAATGTTAGTGACATTTTTTAAATGGATGTTGTAATGTTTATTCAAAAGGTCTTTGAAATACAGATGATTTGGTTCAGTTTAAGAAGTTGTTTTATATCCGAAAGAATTATTATCACGCGAAACATAGCGCGGTGAAATACCACGTTATGTGTATTGTCTTGTCGACCTGAAAAAGGTGAAGGGGAAGGGACTATTATTTATGTAAGTATAACGCCTTGGGTAAGGGAGTTATATTATAGCGCCTTAAGTTAGCACGCTATACCTTTATAACGCCTTAAATAAGGGCGCTATACTGGGCAAACGGCCGTTAAGGTATAGCGCCTTTTAAAAGGGCGTTACATATATATATTATGGTCATCAGTTTTTTTTTCCCACATATTTTAGTTCTTTGAGTCCAAAAGAACCACATTTTGGTTCCGAACTCCCGTTTCTAGTACCAAAGGGCCAGGGTTCACAGACTGGGACTCTCTCAGTTTTCTGTGTTATTGTCAGCTGGAAGGAAACCAATTATACTAGCTCTAGCCCCAGCATATATTTCTGCATTTGGAGTTGCAGTAAAAAACAGATAAAATATGACAGAAAACATTAGTTTTTTCTTTTGTTATGTCACTATACTTCTCTGTCATACGTTACCCTCTTCTTCCCATTATTATTCTCCCTTTTTCCTCTTTTATGTGGCCTGGTCTTTTCCTCTTTGTAAACTGCTCTGCCAATTGCTTTTCATGATCACACGTTACGCTATATATTTCCTTTGGTATGCTTTACACTATTTATAATCATTTAGTAAAAAAATTTATAGCGCATGATGTTATTATTAGAGGCGGACCTAGAATTTAAAGGTTGGACGTGTATTTTGCAATCAACCAAAATTTGCTTTGTATATAAAGTGTCACTACCAATATATTACTAATTTCTAAAGACATATACAATATACATAGAATTTTGCCAAACTTTCCTGATGTAGATGACCCCTCTCTTTACAACATAGATCCGTCTCTGATATTATACAAAATGAATGGATGGCAAGAACAAGTGTCCTTTGTATCGATATTTATCAAGTAACATGGCTAATGATATACATTTTTATTTTTATTTTTATNATAGATGACCCCTCTCTTTACAACATAGATCCGTCTCTGATATTATACAAAATGAATGGATGGCGAGAACAAGTGTCCTTTGTATCGATATTTATCAATTAACATGGCTAATGATATACATTTATATTTTTATTTTTAACTAATAAAGTAAAGTTATTTGGCTTAAGGTAAGTTTTTAAATTTTCTTGTGCCATGCAATATAGCTTTGGAAAAATAACATTGTATAGTCGCTCTCAAATAATAGCCAAATA